TATACTACTACTACTATATACATAGTNNNNATCATACGTCTACTTCCTACTGTTACTACGTACGTACTACGTACGTACGTAGTAGTAGAGAGAGAGAGAGAGAGAGAGAGAGAGATTGCATACAATGAGACTATTTACCTTCGGTACAAGGATGTCACAATCACTTACAACCATCCAATGTGAAATTTGATAGCTTGGTTGGGTCACAAAGTTTGAGAAAATTTCTTTTAAACTTTGAGCTTGGTCAATGAAATAAATGCAGCCACCCAATTTCACATCCAATGATCAAGATTAATTTTGACCATTTTGTACCGAAGGTAAATGGTCTCTTTATATACTTTCCCATATATATAGGCATACATTATACACAAGTATATATGGGTTGCTTCCCCTATGCTCCCATATACATGTGCATATATAGGAGATCGATCCTAGATCGCTCCATAAGTAGAAATCCCAAGCGCTTCAATGGTAGGGAGCTTCAGCCAAGGGTCGATCCTAGGCTCTTGTACTTGCTCCTGCACCTGCTTTCGCTCCCAACAACTATGAATGTGACCTCTCCTCATTCATGTCGCAATCCATGGTATATTAGTTCTCATTGACTTGAAAATTTAAACAAGAATTTGGCATTTGAGCACTATGATTCCTATTTGGGGTCGCATGCTTTTTATTTTGCCTTTTTCCCATAGATTTTTATTGAAATGGTGGCAAAGTTTTAGAGTAGTATCCTTAATCACCCAAATGATAGATACAATGTTCCCCTAAAAGAGGCTGAGGTAAGCTAAATGGAGTGTGAACTGTGAACTTGCTTTTTTGCTTGAAATAATTTGGAAAGGAAGATATCTCGCTTGTGTTAATTTTCTAAATATATGTTTCCAAACAACATGTTTTTCGATTTTAGCATTTTATTTTTTTGGACTGTATTTTTTAATATAGTCATGAGACTACTTTTACTACGTATTAACTTCATGGTCATCTAACTATGAGGACCGCCGATATAGTCTAGACCCCCGAGTAAATGTAATGGTTTGTCTCATTTATTTTTTCATCACTTTTTATATGTGACATGGGCGTAATGATAAGTGGCACCTTATTTAAAAGCGAATCGTTAAGTAAAAGGACATGTGATGGGTGTCATTGCGTGATCTTACACTTTATTCATGAAACAGGTCATATGGTGTTTTTCCCATCTTCTTGCGTCCATTTTAATCCCACGGTCTTTCTCTAAATGATGTCTATATCATCTCTCTTTGTAAACTCAAGTTTTCACATGCAGCTTCATTTTTATGATTTCATGAGGCTATGAATTGAATGATGTGGACACGATTCAGGCACTGATTTTTGTTTTCGTTATCAAAGGGAATGTGATCTAGCTCCGTGTCTTAAAGAGCACCCAATTTCATTTATAGGAAGAATTTTCTTACAATTTATTGTTAGATGGAGTAAAAGAATATTGTCTCTTTGTTTCACGAATATTATTTAGACATTCTTGTTAGTGTCCTATGATATTTATCTCGAATCAATGTTTGTTTATATTGTTACAGATTGGAGACAAGTTAGTATCTAATGTTGTGATTTTGGACGACTTGTTGAGAGTGCAACCCAATAACTCGAGAGGTGTAGTACTGATCTAGCTATATCTTGGGAGTGTATTCCCATGGACCGATTGCATTTAGGAGTTTTATTGAGTCGGGATTGTCTAATAGTTTGAAGATAGTGAGATCATCTTTAGCCTCCAGGTCCCTTTTACTTGTGTAGTATTTAATTTATGACTCTTTATCTTCCTATTACTCTGAACCCAGACCTAGACCCTCAGGGTTTAATTGGAATTAGGAAATATTCTTATAAACTCTGACTCCAGATCTAAACCCTGAAGGTTTTACTGGAATTAGGAGTATTTTTGATATACTTAAAGAAATTTGACTCCAGATAAGGAGAGACTTTCCCAATTTTTTTTAAAAGGGAGTAAAACAAACCAGCAGCTTGTAAGGTAGTTAATGCGAATATTTAAAGGACAGAATATTGAAACTGCTAATCTTGTTCCTGAGCTTCACACCATGTGATACCAACACGAGGATGCTGCCCCTGATTCTTTGTGTTTGATGTTAGGAGAACCATGGGTTCTACACAAAGTAACTCCAAACACTCACTTTTTGATTGGCTGCTTTAATTACAAATTGAGTGCAGCTTCCAAAAGAAAGCTAACACACTTTAAATAACCTTTTTTAACAGTTTCAGTTGCTTAGTTTATGCAGTCTATCAACTACAATTTTGAGGGAATTTCTTTTGTCAAGGAGCAATTTAATCCTGCGGATTCCTGGAGGAAGACTATCATGCATAGATTGTTTTGAAAGTTAAGGTTCTCTTCTGGTTTGCGGAACTTCAGTCGCAAGAACAATTTGGAAAATGGGGATGCCACTATATTTAAGCTTAGTAATGAATGGGGAGGATGCATTGGGCGTGCATGCATTCAGGGTAGTGAAGGAGGGAGGGGAGAATTCTGGGATCTGGTTTTCCAGATCAGAAAATCATTGGTGCAAATGTCATGAAGCCCCTGAGAATGATGACAAATGGTTTCTTTTTCTTGCTCTATCCTTTTTGGTTTGCTTGTCTTAAATCTTTTGGATGTCTAGCCTGTGTTTCAATGGTATGACTGAAATGTATGGATAATAAGTCAGATAAGAACATAGTTGAGACTCTTATGATGTTTTTTTTGTGGTGGTGTAGTCTTTGTGGCTATGCTTGTGATTTGCTTCAGACTTCTAGCTAGGAATATGGCATGGCATGTGCATTTTGCTTGCAGAGTGTATGCATGTTGATGACAATTATGTGCATTTTGGATACTAGCTGTAAATTTTATTGGTTGACTTCTGATGTATACTTGACAAGCTGTTAAATGGAATTTCAGACATCCAAATTGAGTGGACTTAAACTACCAATGATTTGGATCGACGAGTCATCTTCTTCAGGACACAGCAAAAGCAAAAGAAGTGAATCTTTCTTAGGATTGAGCTTATGGCCAGTGGTGTTTATCCTCAAGTTCTTTTGTTTTTCATCACGATTGTAGATCCTAATAAGCTGGAAGGAGATGCTTAACTTTGAGCCGGGTGAACATAGTTATAGGCTAGGTATCACTTGAAATGAAATACGAGCTTAGATTGTGTTTGGTGTGAGAGGAGGGAGACCTGGACATTTTCTATTGGTGCAAGTAGTGTTGCTGTCTCTAGAGCCTTAGTAGTTTTTGTCTTTCCTTGGTTGTGTTACATTCTTAGAACTTTGATTTGTTTCAGCAGATTATTTATTTTTGCATGATTGAGATATCATGAGGAAAGCCCCGGTTGTGAGGGGTTTGTTGTGTTTTAATTGGTAACAATTTCTTGATCAACCTTGTCTGATGTGCTTCAAGCGATAAAAGTTTTTTGACAACCTAGTTGAACACTTTCAATTTCTTGATCTTGAGAACATCAGTTTCTACCTCACCACTCACAAAATATTATCTAATTTTTTCAGTTTGTACCTGCTGCTTTTGCGAGGGAGCATCTGCCATGTTGCCAGTGCAAACTGATTCTTCGGAATCAAGCAGGGTGTTCATGGACAGTGAGTTACTCTCCACATGGCATGAAAGGTTATAGGATGCATGGTGGATGGAAGCAATTTTCTTTCGAAAACAATCTTGAAGATGGGGATGCCTGTGCATTCGAGCTTGTAAAGGGCAAGAAGGAATTCATTGTGCATATTTTCAGGGTAATCCAGGAAATAAAACCCTTGAGATGGATCAGTTCTGCCGCAAAGACTAAACGTTAAAGCCATGGATGATACCTCTGAAGACTGAACCCATTGTTCTTATACTCATCTTTTATGGTGCAGATATATATTCAGGGTAGTCGAGGAGATAAACTTGAGATGGATCAGTTATATTGCGCAGACTCCATGAAGGAGACATGGATGGAGCCTTTGTGGACTGAACCATTTATTTTTTGGCAGTTTTTCTTAATGTAAACAAGGGTTTTTTGGGACGAACTTTCAATGGTTTGAGCCCTTGACCTCCATCGACTAAAGCACGATGTATACAACTAAGCCACAGCCTAAGGAACTGATTTTTGGCAGTTGATGAATGCTTGTGGATGTTGGTTGGTTTTTCTATTAAGCATGTGGGTGAACTTTATTCATCTTTTGTGTTCTGGATGAAAACTTGTGTTTTTTTTTGTTGGAAGTATGCTTTGCTCTCTAAGTTCAATGACGGCAATCTTTTCACTCACCAAGCAATCACACTCCAAGTAATTTTAATACGCGGATTCTGCTATTTTGAGTTTGAGGTGTGGAATGGGGAAACAAATTGTTATATTGGGGCCGTTGGGGGGTTTCGTTGAAAGATAAAATGTTAGAGAGAGAGTGAGAGAGAGATTCTTCTTTTTATTATTTTAAGGATGATGGTTAACCGAAGGGAAGATGCTTGAATGGGTAAGTGACTAAAAGATGCTTATATCTCTGTGAGGTATTTCCGTTCCATTGAACTCTTGTCGTTCAAAAAGTTTACTTTTGAATAAATTTGAAGTTGGAGTTGCACGAGAAAATGTGAAAGTTTTAAGAGTGTGTTTGATAAACTGTGGTGTTCCTTATTTTATCAGTTTGGTAATGGGAAAACCGGTTCAATGGTGGGAAAGCATGAAACAACCTATTTTAACCATTATGATTATATATTTCTATGGATTTTTTTTGTTTTCTGTTTTTTGAGCAAGTCAGGGGGGAGAAGGCCCCCTACCTGATTTGTTTTAATAATAAAAGTAAAGTACAACTCATAGTTTTACAACTCTAGAATAGGAAAGTTGCGTCACATCATGAAGTAATACAACAAATAAAATCTAGCGGTCTAGATCGCCAAATAGTGACATCTAAGAAATAAATACATCATGATAATATATATTTTGGAAAAATATTTTTTGCTATTACCTATCTAATACATTTCTCATAATGTGTGGTTAAAGATTGAATTTAATCTCACATCTATATAACGTAAGAAATAGCTTCAATAAAAAATCAATTTTCAACCATACAAGTATGCTAAAAAAGATAAGTACATAACGATATCAAAAGTTCACCATGAAGGTTTATGAAAGACAGATGAGAGAGAGAGAGATATTGAAGACAAACTTCACTAGTTGAGAACTTGATATGCTAGTATTGCATGGTAAGAGGCAACGAGGATAGGTATGATGTGGATAATCTTCGTTAGTTGTGGAAGCAAATGACATTTTAATTGTTGAAAGGTCTAAAAACTATGAAACTCATGAGCTAAAGACACCTAATTCATAGCTAAAGAAAGCATGACAAAATACCATGTATGAACATAGGAAAAGTATAATCTTTAGTACAACGTGGTCAAAATTAATCTTGACCATTGGATGTGAAATTTGGATGGCTGCATTTATTCTATTAACAAAGCAACTTCAAAAGAACTTTTTTTTTAATTTTGGGACACATCAAACCTATAAAATTTTATATCCGATAGTTGTAAGTAATTGTGACTTTTTTGTGTCAAAGGTAAATGATCTCATTGTATACAATCCCATGAACATATATGGAGAACCATCTAACTTAGTACATAAGATGAACATACATGGAGAACAGCCTAATCTATAGTACAATTCCACCTAAAAGTGAAGAACACTTGAAACTATGGTTCAGAACTAGAGTATTATGGAGAGAACTAATAACTTGTATTCACTGAAAAGCACTTGAAGCCATAGTGCAGAACTAGGCCAAAACCAAAGCCAAAAAAAAAAGAAAAAAAAGAGCCATAGACTTTTAGAGAGAGAATAATAACTACATCTATAAAAGGATAACCAAGAGAGAATAACAAGAGATCACAAATATAGAGAGAAATATAAAATGAATTTATCCACCTATTGAACATCCATTTCCTCTAAAGCCAATATATGACCAAGTAAAAGTATATCACAAGCAACTGTGTTCCAGATTCAGAGCATTTCATAAGCAAGGATGTTACAAGTGATGTGCACTAATATATAAGGATGTTACAGATTCGGAGCATTTCATAAGCACATACACAAAAATTACAGATTCAGAGCATTTTATAAGCAAAGATGTTACAAGTGATGTGTACTAATAAACTACTTCGAATTAAAACAAATTCATGCAGTGAACTCCATTTGTTTCCCAGAAAGAATTTTACTTATCCACTGCATTTGGAATGTCTGCTTTGGATAAAGCAATTTGCACATTCTATAGAATATTAATAGAGACAAAAAAAGCTTGGCAATGTATCACTACTCGTGTTTCACAATTTCATAAGCAAGGATGTTACCGATTCAGAGCATTTCATAAGCGCATAAGTTTGTGAACCTTAGTAATTTGACATGAAATCAATATTTTGAAATTCGGCCGAGGTAACTCGGAATCGGCCAAGTAACTCGGCCTCGCCCTGTGGGCGGGGCGGGTTTTGGCCAAGTTGGTTGTACCATTTTTTTTTAGTTTAATTATATTAAAAACCTCTAACTTAAATTAAATATGTAAAAATATATTTTGTTTGTTACTTGCACAAAGTCAAACCTGCGAAGGTTGTAAACCCACTGCGGGCACCTTTTTTACATTGTACTTTTAAAACGTCATCTTTTTTGGAGTTTAAAAAAATTTAGCCTCCACGAGAGTGGATCTCCCGCATCTTGCTAAGAGATCAATTTGTAACATATGTAGATAACTTTATTTTATCTTCATTTTCTTAAAAAAGAAAATAGTGAGATTCGATTGAGTTATTCGGACTCGCCCAAATTAATCGCCTCCAGCAGGGCCCAAGTACCTTAGCCGAGTCAATTTTTTAAACTATGCATAAAATTAGTCCCGCAAGTGATGAAATGTATAGCAACTAGTTATAATTAAGTAACCTAGTAAAAAAATACACATTTTTTGAACCAAGATAAAGAGGTGCACCATTTCAATCCTTTTTATTCTCCCTCTCAATTTCAAAGAACAAACAAAAGTGAATTTTTAACTACTCGAAAATCACATTTTATATTTCAACTTTTGCAAAGATTTATAACAGAAACAATAACCAACACGCTCATATGCAGCTTAACAATTTAAAGTGGCACTTTTACTATATATATTACTTTATTTTATCTTCATTTTCTTAAAAAAAAAAAAAAAGCTGGACTCGAGTGATTTACTCGGACTCGCCCGAGTAAATCAACTAGGCCAGGGCCGAGTACCTTGGCGGAGTCATTTTTTTAACTATGCATCAAATTAGTCCCGCAAGTGAGTTGAAATGCATAGCCACTAGTTATAATTCGGCAACCTAGTAAATAACCATTTTTTGAACCAAGATAAAGAGGTGGGCCATTTCAATCCTTTTTATTCTCCCTCTCAATTTCAAAGAACGAACAAAAGTGAATTTTTAACTACTCGGAAAATCACATTTTACATTTCAACTTTTGCAGAGATTCATCATCCTTGTACTTGAAGACCACAGAAGTAGTGATTATGGGAGCTTCTTATTCTTATCCAAAGAAAAAGATTTTATATTCAGAAAATTTCCATAAATATAAGCCACTAATTCTTGAAGGAAATACTTTTGATCAAAATTAATATGATAAGCTCAAAGATCTATTAAAAAATACCACATAACAGAAAATTGACTAGAAAATCCCAACAAAAAAACACCACAAAACGGAAAATCAAAAGTGTACTTGATGATTGAGGATTTGGTTTGATTGGAAGCTTTTTAGTTTAATCAAATTCAAATTTCTTCAAACTCGAATTCAATATTCTTCATACTTGAATATTAGGACTTTGAGAGATAGGGTCCCTTCAAAGGGAGTCTCCGGTTTTTTGTTTTGAGATATTTGGATTTTTTTTTTAAGGGTTTTTGTAGTGGGAGATTAGGGCTTTTCGCAGAGAGATTTGGGTTGTCTCTCATCTTCTCTTTCCTCCTCTCTCCTTTATCTTCTCATCTCATCCCCGACTCCCTCTGATCTCTCCTCTCTGCAATATCTCTTTTCTCTGATATGGGATCTCCATTGTGTCTTCTTATTAGGGTTTGTATATTGCTTCAAAATATAGGAGGTTTGAAATGGGAACCTATGTGGTGCGTGTAAATTAGGATTTCCAATTTGGATTTTTGAGTCCAAGTTTTTGTTTTATAATCTAAACTCTTCAACTATCTCTTTCTCTAGACTAGGAACTAATCAAACTAACATTTCATTTTTATTGTTGTTTCTCTTTTGATATGGGCCCTCATCTTTTTCATTGCAATTTGCATTCTTTACCAACAATTATAGATACAACTCTAGGTTAATGCCTGCAACTCTTTGTTTATGTCATCGATTTTTTCTATGTTTCTATATGGTAGTTTTAGTTCTCTTAATCTAGAAAGGAATATGAGATGTTTCTATCTTCATTGAAGATTACTCTGATTCATATGTGATTGCACTGCCTCTATTACGAATTTGAGGTATTCCTCTTTTTTCATTAGTTAAGTACAACAATAAACACCAATAAACCCCAGAATTGTAAGATAATTAACTAGATAATGGCTACAACTTACTGATCTCTAGGCAGTAAGTCACTCTGTTGGCCAAAGACCTTTACTTAGTAGTCTTGGAAGTGATAACTCTTAGGATTTTTGTTATGTCTCTGAGGCCTGAGACTTGCACTTAATATTCATGAGGATTGAGATTTTTGTAAACAGTTATGCTAGCATTTATATTTGAGGCAAAAAATTAATTGATTGCGGCTACATTTTTTTTATTTTTCATCAATACACATGATAAGCAGCACAATCCAAGCCCCCATATGTAGGATGTTTTAATACTGCTTTGTATGTGATAATCAAGTCTACAATAATGGGTTCAAAACTTTGTATAATCATATGCTTCTTCAAGTAAGTAGCTATGATAGTTATATATAATAGATTAACATGCTATTATTTGCTAAACATTTATAAGGGCAGTTGGACAGTCTTCCCATGGAGATGCATTGTTGCTTTTATTTCTTTATTTTTATATGCTCCGCATACTTGTATTCTTTAATCCTTCTTTATGTAAGTTTTTATATGGCAGTTGGGCACAGCCTTCAAGTAAGTCTTATTGGACCAGATGACATAGTACATGGAAAGCAATTATAGAAACTTGTATGCCTTGGAGCAGCTGAAGAG